CGAGATTACAAGAAGCAAAAGCGATTTAAGTCGCGTTCTGGTATGATCAATCCGTGAAAAAAGAGGGCAGTTAAGGTGTTGCGAGTCTCATTTGTCGTCCTTCCAAATTAGAGGATAGTCATGTAACGCGATGCCAAGTAGTCTGAAACTGGCTGTTAAACCAATGCAAATTAGCGGAAGACTCGCGTACCTCGGAGTTTGTCCCTTCTAATTACGCGCGGGAACCAGCGAGAAAGGCTTAACAGGGTTCGCTGGGAATTAGTTGTCACCCGGTAGATGCGGAGTGCGCGAAGAACAAGAACGCTGTTATACCTGCGTGGTTTTGCGCCGAGCAATAATTGCGCGTACAACTGCAACTCGTGATCGATTTCAGCGATAAGATGCAGACGCGGTTATTTATGTCTTACAACGGTCTTGTTAAACTGATTATAAGCGAGAAGCGCATATATAATGGCTCCATCGCTAGATTCTGAGCAATCCCTTTTTTGTGATATACCACGTATTCTGCCTGAAATTTCTATATGAAAATATACTTTTTCATATATATATATAAATTCTATATATATTCCATACTATAGATGTATTTTAAGCTGAATAGAACGAGTTGCTTAATTTCATAGCATAAAATAACTTTTGTAACTTAAATGAAAATCGTTGAATGTTATTGTATGCTTAAATGAAAATCGTTGAATGTTATTATATGCTTTCAAAGGATACCTATATAAATAATATTTATAGTTTGCGTTATAAATATTAAATAATTTTTATTAGCAAAAATTATAAATACGGACCCTTAAATTTCAAATCTTTAAAATGCTTGGAGATTAATTTTTGATATTCTCTTTGAAAGAAAAAGCTTTGTTTGTTGTAAAATAACAAATATATGTTATTTTAGTGAAAGAAAAAGTATTAATTGAAAAATATTAATTGAGAACATTATTTTTTCTCGAGAAGCAAATTCTTAGCGTATATATGCATTGAATTATTACAAACAAAAATTACTTATAGTTTTTTAAAATTATGAAGTTGAATCGCTTTTAATGACAACAGCGTAATGATTTTGAGATTGACATTGAATTTATTTGTAACTAAAATACAACAACGCGCGACCTACATCATTTGTTTGCGTAGCTCAGGTTTTATCAGTGTTATAAAAAAATTACATATTTATACTATGTATAAAAAAATTCGTTATAATATAAAAAAAGTATTAAAATTATGGATGAAGAAATAAAGTAATAAACAAAAAAAATTTAAACGAGCTTAAGACAAATATCGTGATAAGACAAAAGATTAAGATGAAAAATCA